TGAGAAAAAAACCTCTCTCACCTGGCTTGTTCAGCCCTTTCAAGTGTGGCCTTTCTTTTCATGATCTCCGTTATGTGGTCTATTATGATTTCGAAGTTCTCCTTGTTGATCATAGCTACCTGTAGAATGTTGTTGGGCGTTGTCAACCCTATTCTGTTGTGAAGCCTATTTTGTTCGGGGCGAAGACATTACACCAGAAGATGCAATGCTCAGCGTCGTCCCTTTCGCCGCATGTAGAGCATATGTCATCGTTGGTTTTCTTGATGGCGTATGTGTAAGACCTAAAAGATCCATGTCCGGTCAGAAATTGTGTAAAATAGTAATTCACTCGTTTAAACTTACAGTTGTACCAAGCCACTACATCAGGGATTAGAGTTTTGGTCCATTGAGCTTTTGTAGTCTGTGCCTCCCATTCCCCTGCCATTCTGTTAGTAGTTGCTCTCGTACGGCCGCTCTTACCTGGGGTAAGTGACCGTTCCGGTTATCATATAGCATATGCCGTTCTTTGGCTAAGAGTTGAATGGGGAGCGTACCAGCGATTGTCTGTAGGGCCACGGTAGAAGTGGTTCGATACGCACTCGTAACTTTGAGAAGGGGTTTTCTCTGTGCTCTATTGATCATGTCTTTGTACTTTTGATATCTCAGTACATCTATCCAGACGGGGTTCCATATAGGAGGGTCGATTGTACAACGTGTAGGTACAATCTTCTCTTGTTGCTGCTAGGCCCACCTATATTGGGTATTATTCTCTGGATGGCTGCTGTCTGTTCGTAGGCCTTCTTAACCACTCTCGAAAGATGTTTCGTGAAGCGTAGGCCTCTGTCTAGATCAATGCCTAGATATTTAGCACAGTTCGTTGATTTTAGCTCATTACTACCTAGTTGGAATATCAAATCTGGGTAATCGCTTCGGTCTTGTTGCCTGCAAGTTCCAGGTCGTTATTCGTCATCCACCTATTTACTTTACGAAAGCAGTCGTTTACAGTGTCTACGATTTCTAGATACATGTCACTTGTTACTAATATAGCTAGGTCGTCGGCATAGGCTATTGCCATGCTATTTCTACCGTAATCGATGTCTAGTACCCCATTATACAGTACATTCCATAACGTCGGGCCTAATACGGAGCCTTGTGGTACGCCGGCTGTTAATCTGATTTTTGTGTTTCTAGCCACTGAGAGATATCTATTACTTAAGTATCTCTTTATGATGTTTATTAAATATCCCGACACTTTGGCAGATTCTAATTTGCTTATGATGTGCTCCCAGTTGGCAGAGTTAAAGGCATTCTTCACATCAAACATTACTAAAACAGCCCATCTTTTCCTTGTACTCCTGACAGTATCTGTGATATTTAACCGCATCTACAGCTGATTTGGCTTTTCTGAATCCGTATTGTCTAGTTGAGATGATTAGGTGGATATATTTTAGTCTGGTTTTATTTTAATTAGATTTTTTTCTCGGTTTGTAGTATATTTTCATTACCATTTTTTAAAGTAATACTTATCACTTATCAGATATGACACGTACTGACTCTCGATGTTTCAAACAGTAAACGTTTAAATGTATCGAAAACTCGAATCATTGGAAACAGTTCTGTGACTCAACTCATTGCTTCGAAACAATTGGACTCGGCAAGCAAACACTAGCGAGAAATCAATGACCAATAAAATTTGTATCAGCTCGACTGTAAAAATATCGATCTTTTGATTTAATGTCCTATCGACAAAAATCAAGATGCGTTTTAAAGGTAAATAGTGCAGCTTTCGTATGCAGTTTTTGTATTTGGCCCGCGAATAAACCCGTTTTTATAAAGGTGTTTATAAATAAATGTGGCGCGATTTTTGCCATTTTTTAGATTCTCGGCGGATCAATAAAATTGATCACTCTCATTAACCAGTCGTAGTAGAATTTTCATTTTTAGAGATTAATCTTTAAAACCTATGACATAAAATTTTAATTTTGAGTTTTGGCAACAAATATGAGGCATTTGAAATACCAATAAAAAACGAAGAATTTACTGTTTAACATTTCAAACGATCGCACATCACGGGAAATGCTTCCAAGATGATATGGTTTAGGGTGCAGTTTATAGCAGAAGTTTGGTTCTTTTGAAATACGTACTAGATTTATCGAAAAAAAGTTTTAAACGTTTTACATTGTTTGTTATGTGAAACTTTAATTCCAGCGCTTTTTAAACGTATTTCAAATGTGTCACATTTGTTGCCAAAACTCCAAACTAAAATTTCGTGCTATAGGTTTTGAAGATTAGGTTCTATCAATCAAAGCTGTATAGTGGCCACTCAATAAAACTAATATATTTTATTGACTTCATGAAAATCATAAAATATGCCAAAAATTGTGTCACGTTTATTTATTTAACACCTTTATAAAATCTAAGTTTACTTGTGAAAAATTACAAAAATTTCATACGAAAGCTAAACTCTTTACCTTTAAAACGTATCTTAATTTTTATCGATATGACACTCTGATCAAAAGATATCGAATTTTTACCGTTGAGCTGATGCAAATTTTATTGAATATTGATTTCACGTTACACATTCAAAATCGATGGTCGCTTCAAGCATTGTTTCGGAGAGAATGGTTAATTCTACGCAAAAAGTAATAATAAACATTTTTGTTTAAAATTATCTCAGTTACATTTTTTGTTTGAAACATTTTTTTCTACGGCGTATAGATTCTTCGTATATCGGTTTTTTTTGCGTTTTTACCCTCCTACGAGGGGTGTTTTAGGGAGTAGGCCGGGGGTAAAAGTGGTAAACTGTTTTACGTCTTCTTTGCGATCCCAAAATTAATATTCTCGGCAAAATTCAGCTTCTTGCTATGATTTTTAGAGGTTGAGTGGCATTTTCGTCTCTCACGACTGGAGTATAGGCCATATTTATAAGGTTTATTCGTCTTTTAATTTCTTCGCTCGTTTTTTTGGTAGTAGTCACTACCTGCTATAGGATCCTTAGTAACGCAAAAGCAATGTCATCAGATTATGCTAGCATTTATATCGATCTATTATAAATAGTACCGCCGTCTCTAATTCGTGTGTCTAGGACTGTCTTTTCCAAAGCAATGTTAAATAGGAGGCAAGCCAGGGCATCCTCTTGTGTGAATCCATCCTTTATCTCAAAGGATCGAGAATTTTCTCCCCGTATCCTAACGCTGGGCTTTAAGTTAGACATTGTCATTCTAGTTAATCGGATAAGTTTTTTCTGGTATACCAAACTCACACGTTGATTGATATAGTACTGTTCTCTTGACACTGTCGTATGCGTTCTTAAAGTCGACGAATAAGTGATGGGTTTCAATGTTAAATTTTAATGTTTTCTCGATGATCTGTCTTATTGAATGAATCTGGTCAATTGTTGATTTTTCGGGAGTAAATCCGGCCTATTATTTTCAACTATGCCAACTGTGTAAACTTGTAGTCTTTCGTAGAGAATATTTGCTAGTATTTTGTAAGCAGTTGTTCACAGACTATTCACAGGACATGGTCTCATAACAGAAGGTTTGTGTAAAAGACAATTTTCACAAAATTGTACGTAAAAACAGTTTTTCTGTCATTTTAAATCGCAATATAACTAATAGATGACACCATACTATAACTAAAATAAATGTCAGTATTGATAGATTGACATAACGATATCGCTGTATTTGGTATTGCGGCGGGAAGATATATCATTGAGGCAGTCAATGAACGGTATCCCACTTTAATTAATTTAACTGTTCACCCGGTGGTGAAATTCCATTCCACTCAATATAAATTTTCAACCATGCCGATATTGTAATTCTTAGAAGGAATACAGAAAGATATTTAACGGTACTTCTTGGGCTAAGAGCCCTCCGCTACCTGCCTACATAATTTGGTTATTATCACAGTCAGTTCAGAAAAAGCTATTACAAAAGTCGGTCGCAAAATCTCGTAAGCTAAACTCTACCTATTATAGGTAGATATTTGTAACTAAGTAGTTCGCATCGCATTATTATTCATAAAGATTATCAAGCCAATCATTTATAGTAACCATTGTTTCCTAAAACCGCAGTTATAGTTTTCATATAAACAGTTTATCTATTGAAACCAGCAGTTATGCTAGTAGTTCGCTTTAAACATAGACACGACATTGCGCTAAGCACTTCTACTTGTAATTATATGTAACAGTGAAATTAGCCTAAGTGACAGTGTAGTGAAATATCCCATATCACAGTGTTTTCGGACAGCTATCAGAAATTTCTATTTAATCTTAGCATTAAATATAAGTTAGTGTTTAATCTGTTTTTCATTCCAGCCCTTGGCTAGTGGTCCTTCGTCCTTCAATTCTTTAAATGAGTTATTGTTCAACTACCCGGTGAATGGACAACGAGTTTATTTCACGAGAGAAAATGCAATGCAAAGAGCTGAACGATTACCAACGACAACGTTTAAATGTTATATTTTCGTAAAGGAACACTTGATAACATATATGTTGTTGTTGAAACTGTTTACAGAAGAATAAAATAGAACCAACTAGAATAAAATGGAATATGGAATAAAACTGAATAAAATATATCAAATAGAATACAATAAAATGAAATAAAATAATATAAATATAATAAAATCAAATCTTAAATTGGACGAATAATAATAGACCCGCAGTATGCTCATTCAATGGTTTGGTATGTCTCTTATTTGGTGGCGGCATGTAAAGACGGACCAATTGACAAATAATGGGTGACTCTTTTTGCAACAAAATCAAAGTGCAATTGTGTTTTCGAAGCAGTTGTTAGATATTAGAGCCTATTTAACTTTGATACATTATTTAATTTTAAGGCGGTACGAAGTTCAGCGGGTCAGCTAGTAAATTATGTTCAGATTTTAAATCTAACTTCAGTTTCTTCTATCAGAATAGTCATTTTCTTGGGTTTATGCCGTTGAGATAATTGGGAAATAGAAAAAGAAGATTATTGTTTTTATAAAATGTCAAGAAACGATTGGCGTATTATTTTTATGTCAGATTAGTGTATGTAATGTGTGGGAAAACTTTACTTCTGATAAGAAGTCATATTAAATCCCGAAATATAGAAAATGAATTTTGTGACACATTTAAACAATGTTTTGGAAATGGACGACAGGGATGATCTGAATGTTACGGTAAATTTTTGTTTATTTTTATTGCGAGAACAAAATATTTATATCGAAAACTTGCTTGGTAATGGTTGCAAATTTGAAGGGTGTTTTTTTAGAGGTATGAAAATGTAAGTTGGCAACATTTTTTAAACTGTTGGCCATTTTGACCGTCCATTTTATGGTTAACATAATCGTCCATAAGAGCAATTAATTTGATTAACCATGGAACGTTGAGATTGATTGTCAGTTGAACTGTCAAAGTTTGAATACGCATTTCAAAGTTTTCTGCGCATTTTTGTAATTTAAGTACAGTATATTTTACGAATTTGCGCTTATTTTGGATTAGAAATTAAAGCGTGGATAATTGTTATTCCAGGTTGGTTTTTTTTTTTGAAGTTTGATAGTGGAAGGTGGAAAAATACAAGTAAGAGCCCTACTAACATTTTCTTTGTGATCCTATTCCTTTATATATTTCTTAATCTTCTATATAGTCAAACCACATTTAAACGTTTTGGTAGATTTAAACTTTGTTAACGTTCGCCATTATGGAGGAAAAAATTCCTCCCGACCGGCCACCAGATCCCGACCCTAATATAAGTCAAAATCTGCCTAAAAAGAATGCTACAGAGAATGTAAACATTAAGGAAAAAAGTTTATATTCTGAATCAGATTTGGGGCCCTTTGAGGTCTTTGTTCAGGGTAAAAATAGTAATGTGGGTAACTATCATGTCCTAAGTATTGCTAAGACTATCTTTAATTTAAAACTGAAAGATATTTCTAAGTTTGATAGAAAGGGAAAAAATAGAGTTGGGGTAGTATTCAAGGACAGACAATCTGCCAATTCGTTTATCCTTAGGAAGGACTGGGAAGAATTAGGTTATGAGGTTTTCATTCCCACTCATCTTATCTCTTGTAAAGGTATTGTTAGGGGAGTTTTTAAATCTTTGTCAGAAGAGGAAATTAAAATGTCAACTTCTACTAATCTACCCTTTTGTAAAGTTATCTCTGTTAAAAGAATGAATAGAAGGGTTATGCAAAATAATTCAGAAACCACTTTCATCCCTACAGGTACTATTTGTTTAACTTTTTCTGGAAGGAATATCCCTAAAGAAATTGAAATTTATGGTCTGCCTATGAAGGTGATACCCTTTGTTAGTCCAGTTCTCCAATGTCATAATTGTCTTTTATATGGGCATTCTCTTTCTCAATGCAAGGGAAAAAACAGATGTGTTACATGTGGTACAAATCATGATTCTCCCTCGTTTGTACGGTGCAGTAGATTTTGTATGTTCTGTAAAACAGCAGATCATGATTCTAGACATCCTGAATGTAAAGAAAGAAAAAGACAAAAGAGTATTAAAGAGCTTATGTCATTTGCCAACTTATCATATTATGAAGCTAACCAAAACATTCCAAGGGAAACATCTAGCCCAAAGTTGAACATTAAGGATTTTCCTAATCTTGTAACTAATCCATCCTCTGCAAATAGTATTTCAATTCAAGAGAGGAGATCAGTTGCTACATCCCTGTCTTCAAATTCTGCTTCCTACAGTCAGATTACAAAATCTACTCCATCAAAAAGGAAAAGAACATTAAATATAGGCTTTGATCAAAGTTCTCATTCTAAAGTATTGAACAATCCTAATGGGAGATCCCCCAAAGAATCTCCTAGTCACTTTATAAATAATTCTCAGACCCAAAGAGATTTAAATCAGGCTATATTAATGCTCAATCAAGATCACAAGGATTTGGTTATGACATTTATTGGTGAATTGATTAATAAAAATTATACTTCTCCTAAGGATCATGGTGGATTAAATGTAGAGATTGGTAATCATAAAAACAAAAGTGTATCACATAATGCTATAAGTACTAGTCAGGAACGAGGAGGGATGGAGGTATCTGGGTCTGAGGACTCAGAATACTAATTCCCCTCTCGTCTTGACCTGGTACATACATGTTTTTAACAATTTATATTTTCAATCATCACGCCCCACTAACTATTATACAATGGAATATAAGATCTTATAATACCAATGTTGATAACTTAAAAGTCCTTATTAAAGACTATAACCCTGATATTGTCCTCATTAGTGAGTCTTGGCTCTCTAACCAACATACAATTAGATGCAGAGGGTATCACATTATCAGAAAGGATCGAGGTGATGGATATGGGGGCTTAATTACCCTTATCAAATACAATATAGATTTTCGGGATATTCATATTAACAATCCTGGTTTTAATTCAGATGTTCAATTTCAACTCACCTTTTTACCCAAGTATAATTTAAATATATTAAATATGTATTGTCCTTTGGACAATCTCATTTCCAAAAAATGCTGGTCTTCTTTGGTCAACTCGATTAACAAACCTCTACTGATCATGGGTGATTTAAATTGTAATCATAGAGCATGGGGAAGCTCAAGAGATAGTGTTAATGGCAGAAATATTTTGCAAACTGCAGAAGATCTTAAGTTAATTTTTCTTAATGATGGTTCTCGAACAAGATTGGTTCGTCCTGGTAGCAGCAAATCAGTAGTTGACTTATCATTGGCTTCGATAGATGTGGCACCCAAAATTAGTGGATGGACCACCATTCCAGATACAGGATCTAGTGATCATTTTCCCATTCTATGCTATGTCGGTATCCCAACACAGGACTTTAATCAGGTTTCTAAAAGAAGAAATTTCAAAAAGGCTGATTGGGTTTCTTTCCATGAAAAACTAGAGTGTATTTTCTCATCGTTTCCAATTGAGGACTATGAAAATTTTATCGAATATATATCATCAGTGGCAGACACATCAATTCCTTGGACCTCCTCTTATAACAACAAATATCACATTCCATGGTGGGATGATTCATGTGCCCATATAATACAAAAGAGAGTTTCAGCTATTAATACATTTAAAAATTCTCCTAGTGTTGAAAACTATATAGAGGCTAAAAAATTCATAGCGAAAGCTAGAAAATTCCTAAAATTAAAGCGAAAAATAAGCTTTAGATCCTATTGTAGCAAACTAAATAGAAACACTCCCCTTAAAGATGTTTGGAATAAAATTAACAAGGTTTCTGGTAGTAAATTGTCTCTTTTATCTCAATTGCCACCAGAGGAGGTAGCTCAGGAAATTTTAACATTTCTCTCACCTATTTCTGGCGACTTTGAATTACTTTTCAGTCCTCTGCAGTATTCTGAGAAACCCATATCATTTGATGAATATCACAATACTCTTTTTTCTAAAACTGATTCTGCTGCGGGTCCTGATCAGGTTTCATACTCAATGTTAAAAAATTTACCGCACTCTGGATCATTACTCTTAATTCAATTCTTTAATGAATGTATCCAGAAGGGACAGGTTCCTCTTTCGTGGAAACAAACGGTCATATTACCCATTGTTAAGCATGGAAAGGATAAAACTGACCCACTTAATTATAGGCCAATAGCTCTATCATCGTGTGTTGGTAAAATGCTAGAAACATTAATTAAAAACAGAATTGAGTGGTTCTTAGAACACAATCATATTTTAAATCCATTGCAACTTGGTTTTAGAAGGGGTAGAGGTTGCATGGAATGCATTTCATTACTAAATTCTAAAATACTACAAGGATTTTCATTGAATCAATTTACCGTAGGACTTTTCCTAGATATTTCAGCAGCTTATGATAGTGTCAACATCTCTCTTTTATACTCTAAACTAATTAAATATAACATTCCTATTCAACTAGCAAATGTCATTTATTCTATATTAAATGATCGTAGTATTTATGTAAAGGACCAAACTGGTCAAATTCATGGTCCAAGAAAAACTAATCAGGGTTTACCTCAAGGCTCCCCTCTAAGTCCAATATTATTTAATCTGTATTCCCTATCTTTATACGAGATTATTCCCAACGGTTGTAATCTGATACAGTATGCAGATGATTTGGTTATTTTGGTTAGTGGGGCAGATCTACTTAAATTAATTAATTCTTTGAACTTATTAATGGAAAGGATGGATCTCTGGTTATTAGAACACAACTTTAGTCTATCTTACAATAAGTCCTCAGCAATTATATTTCAAATAGGAAATCGTAAAATTAATCCCCCAAACGTAAAAATTAGAGGTCATGCAATTAAATGGGTCGATACAGTGAAATATTTAGGGGTAGTTATTCAAAAAAACCTAAAGTGGAAATCATATGTGGATTTAATAGAATTAAAAGTAAGTCGTAGCTTGAATGTAATGAGAGCTCTATGTGGAACATATTGGGGTAGTGATCCTAAAACTCTCCAGAAAGTTCATAATGGTTTGATACAGAGTCATTTAGATTATATATGTCAAATATTATCAGATTGTCCCAAGGCGCTAATCAACAGGTTAGATAAATTACAATATAAGAGTATTCGTATCATAACAGGATGTATGAGATCTACCCCTATTTATGCATTGTTAGGTGAAAGTGGTCAAATTCCTCTCAAGTACAGATGGGAATGGCTTAATTCTAAATTCCTCCTAAAAAATCTGATGCTAATTAACAACCCAATAATTTCTGCCTTGAATGGATTACAGATATCAATGCATTCAAATCCTAATTACTGGAATAAAAAAAGTATTCCCCTCTTAGTTTCCATCATGAATAAATTCCCATATACCCCAAATTTATTTTCTAGCGACTTATTTCCGTGTCACAATTTTGAATTAGAATATCAATTAACTTCTATCCCTATTAGGAATGTGCAATCTAATAAAAGTGATGAACATGCATTAATTCAATTTCAAAGAATCTCACTTGACAATCCACTTCACACTATAATCTTTACGGATGGGTCAGTTGATAGTAAGGGCTCAGCAGGATTTGGTGTTTTTTGTCCTGACTTTGAATACTCATACTCTAGTAAACTCCCTACGCAGACTCAAGTTTGCACTGCAGAAATTATTGCAATTAATCATGCGGTTCAATTTGTCTTGGAGAAGGATATCAAGAGGGCCTTAATCTTGTCTGATTCTAAGAGTGCTATCCAAAAGTAGGGAAAACATCTTACTC